AAGCACCTGGGACGGGCCCGCGGGCAGGTGCACCTATCCACAGCCGTCCCCAGGGCGCCCCGGCTCGGCCAGAGCCTGAGACGCTGTCGGAGGTTTGAACTGTCAGGGCTCTGCCAAGTCTGCTGTTGGATGTGCACATGGCCTTCTCAGAGGGACCGGGATTTCACCAGTCACTCGAGGTGGGGACACAGGAAGTTGGGCAGGCCAGCTGCAAGTCATAGCGACTGTAATCCCGAGAATTCAAGTAACAACAGCCAATAAAAGCCCCTAAGCACGTCCTGGACGCCCGACACTGTGCCAAATGCTTTGTGTGCATTAATCCACTTAGCCGGTGCCAGAACCTCCATTGTGGGATCGTATCTGCACCCCCATTTCACAGGGGAGAACGCTGAGGCTCAGCAGGGGCAGGTGGCTTGCTCACGGTGACAAGGCTAGAGCGGCAGAGCCAGGACGGGCTCCCAGGCTATTGGTTGCCCACTCTCTTACCCACACACCAGCTGACCAACCAACAGCCAAGGCCACTAAAAACTTACTTTTCCTGTTTAAAAGTTTTTCATCAGAACAAAAGTTGATGTCGATTTACTGCCAAGTCCTTAACCAGAAAGTTATGATTCAAACGAAGAGATGATCTCCTCCCCGCTCTGGTGTGTAAGGGCTCCCTCGGGGTCCTCCACACCCCCATCACCCCGAGTTCCATGTTTCCAGGAATACTGGGCATCGGAACACGGGGACCGTCCAGGGCAGGGGGGCGGCAAACTTGCGAAGGGCCAGACAGCGACCGTTTCAGGCTCTGTCGGGACCACTGAGCCACCGATGCAGGGTGAGCACGGCCATGGGAAATGCGGGAAGGGGTGGCCATAAGAGCCGGGGGTAGCCGGTTCGGCCCGGGAGGCCGCAGTGTGCCGACCCCTGGTCTGGAGCGAGCGGGAGGGGTAAGGACAGAAAACGGTCACTCGCGTCTCTAAAACCTACCGGCCAGGTAGCCGTGTCCTCCACACGCCTCGCGGCACTCCTGGATCCCCCGCTGGGCCGTCCACGAGGCCAGGGGCTTGCCGGCCGACGCCAAGGCGTGGATCTCACGTCCCAGCTCTGCCTTGAGGAGGAATGCAAAGGGCACAGTGACCAGAGGCTCTGACACCGGAGGGGGGTCCGGTCAGCCGGGGCGTCAAAGGCACACGTCCCTCCAGTTAATCCAACACACCCCTCAGCAGGAGAAAGAATCCCACTTTCAGCCTGAAAAAAGGGCATTCATCCCGGCTGGCGTGGCCCAGTGGTTGAGCATCCACCACCTACGAACCAGGAGGCCAATGTTCGATCCTGGTCAGGGCACGTGCCCCGGTGTCAGGCTCGATCCCCAGTGGGGGGCGTGCAAGAGGCAGCCGATCCATGATGCTCCCTCATCATTGATGTTTCTCTCTCTCCCTCTCCCTTCCTCTCTGAAATCAATAATATTTTTTTAAAAAAGGGGGCATTCACCTACGAATGGGCACACGGTGGAGAAAACACAGGGGCCACCTCTGCCCAGCCAACAGGCCCGGGGAGAAGGCTGCGGGCAGGACCATGCATGAGGCTCGTTCGTGTGCCGGGCGCGGCCCTGACCGGAGCAGCCTGCTGGCGAGGGATCCCACACAGTGCCAGACGTGCTCCGAGGAGAGGGGGCC